GGCTGAGACCAGGAGTTTGAGGTTGCTGTGAGCTAGGCTGATGCCACGGCACTCGCCCCAGGCAAGAGAGTGCGACTCTGTCTCAAAAAAAACACAAAAAACAAAACAAAAAAAACCATGGGATAAGAGCTCTCCAGATGGACCAAGTATTCTTTTTTTTATTTTTTATTTTATTTTATTTTTTTAGCTGTCCAGCTAATTTCTTTCTGTTTTTAGTAGAGATGGGGTCTCGCTCTTGCTCAAGCTGGTCTCAAACTCCTGAGCTCAAATGATCCGCCCGCCTCGGCCTCCCAGAGGGCTAGGATTACAGGCGTGAGCCACTGCGCCCAGCCAAGAAGACAGATCCCCAGCCACCAAGAACCCAAAACATCAAAACACAATACTCACAAGCACCCAGACAGCATGACCTGCAATGGGGCATGCAGGACCTTGACTTTCTGCACAAAAACAAAAGAGAGACCCACGTGGGACTTCTATACTTTAAGGTGAACCCCATGCTGCCCTGCCATGGATCAGCCAGCTAGAAGAACAGCAGGTGAGGACCCCCAGGCCCTGAAGGGGAGGAGAAGGGGCCTTCTCTTTGCTCTCTGCGAACCAGGTCAGGGGACTGGCTATGAGGTCTAAGCAGGAGGCCAGCAGGGATTGGTATGGGCTCCACCTGAGTGAGATGGTGGTGTGGCGCTTAGAGGGAAGGATGGGAGTTCAGGAGTCCCCAGGCACAGGTGTGGATGGGGCACTCTGGGAAGGAAAGATGCAAAAGGAAACCCTGCCTACCTGCATGAAGCGCAGCTTCTCCAGCCTTTCCATGACGACTGGCAGCAAGACTGGAAGAGACCAGGGGAGAAGCTGAGAGAGGGTTGAAGACTCTCCCCAGGACTCCTTCTGAAGTCAGATCAGGGACTGAGTGATCCCCCTCCTTCCCCAGAAGCTCCATTTGGGAGAAGAACAGAAGACCTACGTAGTGGGCATGGCCACCCTCAGCCCCTCTCCCCTAAGTCCCAGTGGGACCGTGCTTCCCAAACTCCTCAACCTGCACACCTGCAGTAACAGGAGAACATGTGCTGCTAGGCTCAAAGCATCCTTCTCAAAACTCAGAAACATCTTTGAAGGCTCCTGCGAGCAAATTTTGTATCCTATCCTGCAATATGTCCTTGCTGGAAGCAAACCAGGGCCAGGAACTTATTTTCTCTACCGCTGTCTCCCTAGAACCTTGCACTGTGTCCAGCACATTAAGCGATGTTACTTAATAAGTATTAGTTGAGCCGGGCATGGTGGCTCATGCCTATAATCCTAGCACTCTGGGAGGCCGAGGCGGGTGGATCACTCGAGGTCAGGAGTTTGAGACCAGCCGGACAAGAGCAAGATCCCGTCTCTACTAAAAATAGAAAGAAATTATCTGGACAACCAAAAATACATAGAAAAAATTAGCCGGGCATGCTGGCGCATGCCTGTAGTCCCAGCTACTTGGGAGGCTGAGGCAGACGGATCGTTTAAGCCTAGGAGTTTCAGGTTGCTGTGAGCTAGGCTGACGCCACAGCACTCTAGCCCGGGCAACAGAGCGAGACGCTGTCTCCAAAAAAAAAAAAAGTATTAGTTGAATGAACATAACTGTCTCCTCCAAATCTCTGATTAATCGATGTTCTAAGGAACTAGCGTGGTTCTCCTGGGCACAAAGCATTCAAGCAAAGCAGTTTGAGAAGCATGGCTGTAGAGGCTGGGGTCCCACCTTCCACCCGAAAGCTGAGTGTGGTTGAGGCCTCCACCCTGTGTTCCAGGATCCCCAGGATGGGAGGGCCTCCCCATCTTACTCATGGCGGGAGCTGCCATGGTGATCCGAGAAATAACCACTTGGGTGATGCCTATGGCGGCAGCTCTCTGAGGGCAGAAAAAAGTAAGTTGTAAGGAATGACTTATCCAGTGTACATAGGCTGCTCTGGAGGACTGGGTCAGGGTCATGGCCAGGTCTGAGATGGTTAACAGGGAAGGGATGAAACTGCCAGGGGCTCAGTGGCCCAACCCTCTCCCACCCAGCTAGACTTTTATGGCTTCAGGACCAGAAATGATGAAGAGGGGAAATAAATGGCCTACCCTAAACAGAGAAACAGGGAAACATTGATAGGGAATGAAGACGGAGTGAGGGAGAAGGCTTCTCGGTCCTATAATGGTGCCCAGGCCTTCTCTGATCACTAAGCAGGGGATAGGGTCTGAGAGGGAATTCCCTCCTCCCACCCCAAAGGGAGGCCTCTGCTCACCTGGGAATGACCAATCTCCTTGTGATTCCTGTCTTTCACGTAGATGCCCTGGATGAGTTCCCTAAACATAGACAGGAGTTGCTGGACTTAGGACAGAGGTGCTGGAAGCATGCCAGCCATGTGACATGCCAGCGGACCAAGGCCAGGGCATTGATGCTTTAGGAAGCCACCTCTTTCTGTACTCCAGTGAATGACATCTCAGGAGTGCTCTAGGGCAGCGGATGAGAGAGGTGGCGAGGTGGCCCTCGGCCCAGACTGCCTGAGTTGACTCCTGAAACTGCAGGGTATGTGTGTGATCTTAAGTACAGTCCTTAACCCTTCCAAAGCCTCAGTTTTCCTCATCTGCAAAATGGGGATGATCCTGGAGCCCACCTCATAGGGCCTGGTGAGGATTAAATGAGATAATGCCCGCAGAGTGCTTAGTCCAGCACCTGACACAGAGTGACTGCTCCACAGAGAATAGATACTCTAGCCATTCTCCTTAGGCCAGTTCCTGACAGCACTCAGCCCATACCCAGTGGGTGGCTGGGTCTCATTATCTGTTGAGAAAGAGCCCCTGGATTGGGGGAGGAAAGAGGATAGGAGTGACGTGGATGGGGCACGCATGGCTATTCCAGCAGTGCTCTTCCTACAAAGTGTCCTGCGGTCAATTCCCATCTGCTAGTAGTCCCAAGAAAATGCAGCTTGTAAATATCAATGATGATGACAATGGTAGCAATAACAGCCAACATTTATGTAGCATTCGCTATGTTCCAGGTGCTGTCTTGAGTGCTTTATGTATATTACATCATTAGAACCTCGTAACAGACGGACACCTATGCTTTCTCTGGGCAAGAAACAAAAACTGGGAGACACAGTGAGTTTGTCCTTTACCTTTTCTGCTGAAAAGCTCAGAGCTGTGTGCCTGGGAAAAACTCCCCTGGCTTCCTTCAAAGCTTGTGGGCTCTGCTCTATCTTTACACTCCTCACTCTGCTACACTCCATTTCATAAGCTGTCCCCAGGGCTTTGGGAGTGGGCAGCATTCACAACTTTAAGTTTCAGTTGAAAGGACATGATCCAGTCTAAACCCCACAGGTCCACCCCATCTCCCCCATCCCACGCCATGCAGGAAGGGACTCCCACCACACTCAACACACTCACTAAACCTGCCACCTGCCACTCCCGGGGCCACCACCCCAGGAGCAGCCAATCCTCAGGGACCCTTCCGAGGCTCAGCCCAGCACCCACCTTAGTCCCCCGAAGCCACCAACTGCCTTGGTTTCTTGCCTTTTCCCTGCTAACCTTGTGGTTTGTGGGGACAAAAAGGGCTCCCTATACTCACTGCTGTCGCATCATCGGGATGTTGACACAGTTAGCTGCAGCAACGGCGGCAAAGGGCACCCAGCGGCCCACCAAGGGTGGCGCTCTCTGTGGGGGAAAGGAACAACGGGAGTTGTTGGGCTCACTGGAAGATGGAGTGGAGGGGGCTGAAGGACTACAAAACAAAAAGAAAACGAGACCGCGATACTGCCACATACCCAGACACTCTGTCTGGGAACTCCAAACTCTCTCAAAGGCCCAAGAAAGACCAAGCTAGGGTAGCCCTGCTGTGGTTCTCATTACCGGGCTGGGCTCTGGCCCCCACCCAGCCTGGGGAAGGATGTTTTCCTAGGACTCTGCTGCCCCCAAGTGGCCACCACGCCCACAGCAGCCCCGGGCCGTACCTTTGTCAACATGTTCATGCCCACAGCAGTGGCCACGGCCGTGGTTGTGGCTGTGAAGTAGGAAAGGGCCATCTGCCTAGTGGAGGAGAGAGATGCTTGGGAGTGGGCAGCACTGCTGGCAGAGGACAAGACTATAGACGCGGGAGAGAAAGTCTGGTGACGAGGCTCCACGCCTGAACACCTCTCATGGTCTGTCCCCAGCCTCATCTTGCGACCCTCTCCCGCTCACTCACAGCGCCCCAACCCCCTTGGCCTTCTACAAGTACTTTAAACACACCAAGCTCCTTCCTGCCTCAGGACCTCTGCACGCTGCTGCTCCCTACTGGGGAATTCTTGCCTGGGCTCTTGCATGGTTGAATCCTCATCCTTCAGAACTCAGCTGAAATGTCATCTCTACAGAAGGGGCTCCCCTGGCTGGCCTAACTACACAGACGCTCCCTGCTGTTCTCTGCCTTGTCACCCTGTATATGTCCTCAGTGGCAGCAGTCACAACTTGAGATTATTGTGCTTGTTCTCTTAAAAGACCTTAAACTGGCTGGGTGTGGTGGCTCACACCTGTAATCCCAGCACTTTGGGAGGCTGAGGCAGGAGGACTGTTTGAGTTGCCGGGAGTTTGAGACCAGCCTGAGCAATGTAGTGGGACCCCATTTCTACAAAAAAATAGAAAAAAATTAGCCGGGTGTGGTGGTGCACACCTGTAGTCCCAGCTACTCGGGAGGCTGAAGCAGGAAGATCACCTGAGCCCAGGAGTTTGAGATTGCAGTGAGCTGTGATGATGCCACTGCAATCCAGCATGGGCAACAGAGTGAGACCCTGTCTCAAACAAAACAAAAACCTTAAACTCCACCAGAACAGGGACCATGAATGCCTTACTCAACAAGGTGTCCCCAGCACCTAAAACCGTACACATTCCAGCACATGATACACACTGAAGAAATATCTGCAGAATGAATGAATGAGCAAGTAGAAGAGCTGTTCCTGGGGAGGTAAGAGGACAGCCTGGGGTTCAGGCCTCCTACCTGACTGACGTTGGGGAGGCTGCATTCCTGTTGGTGTAGTTGACTAAGGCATTGAAGGACTGGTTCACCCACTGCCAGAAGATCACGGCCGGCATCGTCCTACCAGTAAGGGAGGCCAGGAGAGGCAAAGAGTAGGACGGAAGGGAGGGCTTGGGGTACACCAGTGAAGCCGCATGATTTGCAGTTCCCTAAACTGTGCCTGTGCTGCTTCGTGTACCTGGGCTTTTGCAGATGCTGCCCCTCTGCCTGGAATATCCCCCAACCCCCTTCCATACGTGGCCAAGTCCTGCTCTGTTGAGACCTCACTTCCTCCTTGGAACCTTCCTGACCCTTCCCCTGCCCTTCGTGAGACAGAGTTAGTCATTCCACGCTCCCTGTTCCCACAACCCCTGCTCTTCCCCCAACCTACCACTTACTAAGCTGTACTGTAACTGTTTGCACTTCTTAGTCTCCTGAACAAAACTAGGAACTCCTTTAGGGGAGGTATTAAAGTTTTAATATTCCCCAAACCTGGCCCAAAGCCTAGCTCAATAACTGAACAAATGAAGGCACAGTGCACAGATGGGAGGGGGCAGGGGGAAGGAGAGGGAAGGAGAAGGAGGGAGAAGGAGGGAGGAAGGTGGAGGAAGAGTCACACATCCAGCAGCTACAAAGTATACTCTCTCCCCAACCAAACCCAGAGAAAGGGTCTTCCTATTTTTTTATTTGGATGTTACATTATAAAAATAAATTCATTGTGGAATATGTACTTTGTTTTTTTTTATCTTAAAACGATGAAATTGGGTTTTTTTTCTGCATATTATGGGGGTACAAATGTTTAGCTTACGTTGCCCTTTCTCCCCCCCACCCCCCGCCCCCGAATATGTACTTTTTAAAGAGGTAGTTTATTTGTTGAGACTTCTACAGAGGACTACCTCAGTTAAAATCCAGGCACCCACATTTCCTGACTGTGTGAACTTGGACAAGCTACTTAGCCTCTCCAGAACTCCAGTTCTTCATCTATAAAGTACAGATGATAATGGTACCTAGGTGCAGGGCTGTTGAGAGGGTTAAATGAGGCAATACAAGCAAAGAACTTAGCACAGTGCCGGGTACCTGGTAAGTGATCAGAAAAGAGGATTATTATGGCTCCCTGCTAGTGAATCCAGCAGCTGCCCCTCCCACTGCCTTGCTGCCGGGTCCCACCTGTAGAACTGGAGCATGAAGCCTGTGATGATCATGCCGCCAGGGACCTGGAAGGACATGCGCCCAATGACATTCATCTTCTCCCCGGTGTCAGGGTGGAAGGCTGAGTCATATAGCTTCTTGGCATACAGTAGCTGTTCCACTTGGGTACCTGGGGGCACGACCCCCATCCTGTCACCCAAGGACAACAGGCAGTTACCAGCCAGCCTGGCCGATGCCTCCCAGTCTCCCACTCTCATTTCTCCTTCCCTCCTGAGATCTCTGCCCATTCCTTCGCCTTCAGTTTCCACTTCCTCCTTTGAGGATGCCATCAATGTCACCCTACTGCCTTCAGCCTCTTCTCTTAACCATTCACCTGCTCTTCTCCACCACTGCCTTGGCCCAGTCCAGCTTCTGCTCCGGCACAAACACGGTGCGGGGGTCCGTGATGTTGAAGAAATGTTTCACTCGCCCCAGGAAAGTGCCCTGGTCCCAACGGGGAGCATCGATGTCAAAGCTAGACAGGTCGGCCTCCATCTTTGCTCACACACACAACTGTGGACTTAAGAGAGAGAGGAAGAATGAGGATTATCCCTCAAATCAAAGCCTGCCCCAGAAGCCCTGAGCACATCCCACTGTTGCAGGCTGCCTGCTTTTACCAACTACTGGGCACCATCTGACTCGGCTGGGGAGAGCCCCGGAGAGTGGTCACCAGACAGCAATTGGGCACCAACATGTATGTCCTGCAGGCCTGCAGGTGGCCAGCCCTGTGCTTTACTACGCTGCAAGAGAGACTGGAAAAAGGGACAGTACAATGTCTGTCCTTGGGGAGCCTTGAGTCGGACTGGGGAATAAGAGCCTACCCATAAGGCTGGGCGTGGTGGCTCACACCTGTAATCCTGGCACTCTGGGAGGCCGAGGCGGTGGATCGCTCAAGGTCAGGAGTTCGAGACCAGCCTGAGCAACAGCGAGACCCCCGTCTCTACTAAAAAATAGAAAGAAATGATCTGGACAACTAAAAATATATATATAAAAACTAGCCAGGCATAGTGGCGCATGCCTGTAGTCCCAGCTACTCGGGAGGCTGAGGCAGGAGGATTGCTTGAGCCCAGGAGTTTGAGGTTGCTGTGAGCTAGGCTGACACCACAGCACTCTAGCCCGGGCAACAGAGCAAGACTTTGTCTCAAAAAAAAAAAAAAAAAAAAAGAGCCTACCTATGAAATAATATATAATAGGTGCTTTGGGCAAGGAGGTGGGAAAAGTAGCCATTTTGAAAAACATCCAGAGCCCTCTCTTCTTCTTCTTTTTAAAATTTTATTTTTTAGAAATGGGGTCTAGCTATGTTGCTTAGGCTAGAGTGCAGTGGCTCTTCCTAGGCTCAATCATAGCACACTGCAGCCTCGAATTCCTGGGCTGAAACAATCCTCCCTTCTCTGCCTGGCAAGGAGGTGGGACTGACTACAGGCCTCCATGGCATCCAGCCCCGCTGTTCTTAACAAGGCCTGCTCTCAAAGGAAACTATTTTACCAGAACCTATCCAGTTTGGGGGAGAGGAACTCCAGCCTCCTCTTGCCTTCCTGCCCACCTGAAGTGGGGTGAGGGGAGGCTGAGAAGCACTTGTGAAGGTCAAGGGCACAGGCTCACTAGAAGACTAAGACCTCATCATAGGACTGTAGCATGCTTCCCCTCCCCTACCTACCACTGCATCAGGGGGGCTGCTGTGTAACCACAAGGGATTACAACAGGAAAAACTGCAAGGCTCACACCTTATTTAAGAAGTCTCTAGAAGCCCAAAGATGACAGAGGAGACAAAAACAAGGATACCAGATGAAATTTTGGCCTTTGACACCTACAGCTACGGCAAACAGTAAACACAGCCTAACTCCTAGCCAGATAAACATAAAACCTCACACCTCAGTTCCTTTTACCAGCCAGGTCCCTTGTGTCTGGATTTCAACAAAAAATTACAAGGCATACTCAAAAGTAAAAAACACAGTTTGAAGAAACAAACCAAGCATCAGAACCAGATTCACTTACAACAGAGATTTGGGGTTTTTTTGTTTTTTTTTTTTTTGAGACAGAGTCTCACTGTGTTGTCCGGGCTAGAGTGCCGTGGCGTCATCCTAGCTCACAGCAACCTCAAACTCCTGGGCTCAAGCGATCCTATGGCCTCAGCCTCCCAAGGAGCTGGGACTACAGGCATGTGCCACCATGCCCGGCTAATTTTTTCTATATATTTTTAGTTGTCCGATTAATTTCTTTCTATTTTTAGTAGAGACGGGGTCTCGCTCTTGCTCAGGCTGGTCTCGAACTCCTGAGCTCAGAACGATCCGCCCGCCTCGGCCCTTCCAGAGTGCTAGGATTACAGGCGTGAGCCACCGCGCCTAGCCTACAACAGAGATTTTGGATTTATCAGACCAGGAATTTAAAATAACTATGATTAATACGCTCAGGAATCTCAAGGGAAAAGTGGACAACATACAAGAACAGATGGATAATGTAGGCAGAAAGATGGAAATTCCTAAGAAAGAGTCGAAAGGAAATTTTAGGAATCAAAAACACTGTTACAGAGATGAAGAAAACCACTGATGATTTCAACAGTAGGCCAGACACGGCCAAGGAAATCAGTGAGCTTGAATGTGTCAACAGAAACCTCCCAAATGGAAACGCAAAGCAGAAAAAAGAATAAAAAACCAGAATATCCAGGAACTGTGGGACAACTATAAAAGGTACAACATACGTGTTAATAGAAATACCAGAAGGAGAAGAGAGAAAGGAACAGGAAAAAATATTTGAAGTAATGATGATTGAGAATTTTCCAAAATGAATGACAGAAATCAAAACATAGATCCGGGAGGCTCAGAGAACATCAAGCAGGATAACTACCAAACACCCTACACCTAGGCATATCATATTCAAACTGCAGAAAATCAAAGATAAAGGAAATAAGGAAAAGTAGCCAGAGGAGGAAACGAAACCTTACCTACAGAGAGGCAAGGGTAAGAACTACATCAGATTTCTCTTCAGAAATCCGGCAAGCAAGAAGAGAATAGAGTGGAATATTTAAAGTGTTAAAGAAGAAAAACCCAACCTAAAATTCTGTATCCAGTGAAATTACCTTTCAAAAGTGAAGAAGCAATAAAGACTTCTTGGACAAACGAAATTGATAGACTTTGTTGCCAGTAGACCTGACTTCCAAAATGTTAAAAGAAGTTGGAGAGAAAATTATATAGGTTATGAACTCAGACCCACATAAAGAAAGAGTGTCAGAGAAGGAATAAATGAACTAAATGAAGGAAGTGAAGGAATAAATAAAATCTTTATTTTTCTTATTCTGAATTAACAGCAAACAGGTAACAATTTGTTCAAAATGATAACAGCGACAATGTATTCAATGACTATAGCTTACAGATAAGTAAAATGCATGACCCCAATAACATCAAGGATGGCAGGAAGGAACTGGGAATATACTATTATAAGGTAATTGTGCTACCCACGAAGAGGTATAGTGTTATTTGAAAGTGGACGTGGATTAGTGGTAAATGTATACCCCACACTCTAGGGCAACAAACTAAAAAAGTTTTCAAAAGAAGTATGGTTGATACGCTAAGAGAGGTGAGAAAATGAGAAAATGCAGTCACACGAAGAAAGCTAAGGCCTTTGAATTTTTGCCTGAAAATTTCAGGAAGTCATTAAAGGATTTTAAGAAGAAAAGCGACAAGATCAGATGTGTAGTTTAGAAGGGACGCTCCAGGCACTCGTGAGAATAAACAGGATGTGGCACAACCTCACAGGACGCAGAGACTGCCTGGAAGGGAAATCTAATAATCCAGGCAAGAAGGAGAGAGGCACAAACGGCCCCAGGTGCACTCAGAGGAGAGACCAAAAGGAGAGAACCTTTTAAACAAGCAGAATCTTAGGATTTGCTAAGCAATTGGGTATTAGAGGAATATTGTATCGGGGTTCAACCAGAGAAGCAGAATCAGTAGATATATATTAATATATATATCCTTTATATAATAAATATATAAAAATATAAAAAATCGATTTATTACGAGGAATCAGCTAATTGGCTTACATAATTGTGGCAGGTGGCTAAGCAAGGCCACAGTCAGCAGGGCAGGCAGCCAGAAACAGACCATCCTGGGGAAAGGAGAGTCACATGGGTTATGGCTCAGAGACTCAGACCTCATGGTTGGGGGGTGCCTGACCCTCCTTTGAAGGGCTTCCATCTGATTAGGTCAGGCCACCAGGGATAATCTCACTTTTGATTAACTTAAAGCCAACCAATTGAGGGCTTTAATTACATCTGCAAAATCCCTTCACGGCAGCACTTAGATTAGCATGTGTCTGAAAAACTGGAAGAAGGTGTGCTAAGCTCCCACCATAACTGGAACCGGACCAGAGAGGGAACGCAGGGAGCTTAGCTTAGCCTAGCCAAGTTGACACATCACAAATACCTAGAGTGATACCTGGAGTTTCTGACTTGGGCAACAAGGTGCTGAGTCAGAGAGAGTAGAAAAATAGGCTTTAAGGGAGAAAATAATGAGCTTGATTTTCTATGTGTTGAGTTTTAAGTGCCATGGGACTTGATTAATGCAATAGGCTGCTTCCCGTCTTGGGCTCTTTCCAAATGCCCTACCCTGTCCAAAAGCTATTCCCTCCCCTCTTGACTAAGTAACACCTACTTATCCTTTCATTCTTTAGGGATAATTTTCAGATTTACTTCTATACCTTCTATTCCTAGGCCATTTGTCTTTTTTCTGAAAAATATCATCTTAACTAACTTAAATAGTCACCTCTGAAGTCAGGGGGTGTGTTCATTTTGCTCTCCACTGTTGTCCCAGTGCTTAGCACAAGTATTCAGGCGCTTGCTGCATGAGAGGGCCAGCTCAGCAGCAAGCGGGTATTCAGGCTTGACAGAAAGCACAGAGTTCTGGGCTGGAAGGAAAAAGTTGAGTCAGCAGCATCGAGGTGGTTTAAGATAAAGTTTTCCAATGAGAATACACAGAATGGGCAAACCCTGAAAAACCACACTTAAGAAGTGAGCTGAGAAAAGGAAGCCCCGAGAGGTGGGAAAGAACCACCAGAGAGACAGGAGGGGGAAGGAACCAAGTGGGAGAAGAGAGAGTAGTGGTGAATTTTTAGGTTTTTTGATAGGGTGGAAGAGACTTCAGGAAGTTGACGTGCTGCGGCTAAGTCATTTCCCAAGAGGAAGGAACCAGGAGAGGAGCAGAGGCCGACATGGAGTATCCACAGCACCTGGCCTGGCCCTGATGCTACCGCAGAAGTGGCAACCTCTGCAAGTCAGAAGGCAGGCAGCAAGCGTCCGCTGCCAAAACTCTTGCCTTCTCCCCTCCCACTCCACTTGGCCTCCTGCAGGCTGGTTCTAAGACCAAAGGCATTTCTCTCAGTCCGGAACTAGGAGTGGGAGGAAGGGAAGAGAGTTCACTTTCCTGGACTCTACACTGGCCCGCAGATCACACAGTGCCTTGGTTTACCAAGCCCCAGGTTCATGCCTGCTAGAAAAAGCCGACTCAGCAAAATGCTATTCCTCCCCGTCAACACACACGGCCAGACCTTCTCTGACATCTCTCCCCGCCCTCAGCTCAACATTGCAAAGCCCTCTGCCTCTCATAATGAAAGCACTTCTAACATGAAGGGGTAATCATTTGCTAAATTATGCAACAGGCTTTGCCTTCTTAACTGAGGTCAGTATAGAAACTGCACAGTCCCTGCCTTATATAAGACATAAGGCCAAAAAAAAAAAATCTAAATTATCTTTCTGGAACGTTTTCCCCAACACCCACTGTCCCCCAATGGGCACAGTTCCTTGACTCTTTCAAGGCAAACTCAAGTCCTTCTGTCATATATTCCTCCAGCATCCTGACCTTTGCAGCATGCTGGGCTTTTGTAACCGTCACCTTCTTGTCATTTACTGTTATAAAATCTGCCTCCCCTGACAGACTGTAAGGCTCATGAGCATTAGGAGATGTCTGTAATGTTCACTGCTACATCTCTCACATGCCCTCTAAAAATCTGTACTGCCTGCCCGAAATGAATTCTGATTTATTCTTGCATTCTCTTGGCATCAAGGATGTTACTCCTACCTGGTTGATCCTGCCAAGTAGCAAAAAAGAAAAAAAAAGGATGTCACTCCTTTTAAGTTAAACCCAGAAACTGCCTGGGTTACAGAAGGAAGAGCAGCCTTTCTTTCATGAAGCTGCAAATCATCTACCTTGCCTGTACTGGGTCATATCTGGTCTCTAAGTTTTCTTCCACGGTTACTCTCCCTCCTCCTACACAAGCCACATCTAGTCTTCCCTGAAAAGGTCACTATCATGTCCAGGGTGGCCCAATTTCTGAAGGATTATGGTTCCACTACTAGGAACAAGGTAGGAGGTAGAACTCAGACAAGTGATTAGCTAATACCTCCTGCCATAGTTTGAATGTTTGACCCCTACAAACCTCATGTTGAAATTTGATCACCAATGTTAGAGGCAGGGCCTAATGGGAGGTGTCCGGGTGGTTGCGGACAGATCCCTCATGATTAGATTAATGCTCTCCCTGGTGCAGGGGGAATGACTGCGTTTTTATTATATTAGTTCTAGCGAGAGCTGGTTGTTAAAAAGAGCCTGGCACCTCCTTCTCCTCTCCTGCTTCCTCTCACGCCATGTGATCTCTGCACGTGTCAGCTCCTCTTCACTTTCTGCCACTAGTGGAAATAGCCTGAGGCCCTCAACAGATGTTCAATCTTGAACCTTCCAGCCAGCAGAACCATGAGTTAAATAAACTTCTTTATAAATTACTCAGCCTCACATATTCCTTTATAGCAACACTAAACGGACTAAACACCTCCCATCTAGGATTAGAGAACGTCACAACTTAAAGGCATTAGGGATTCAAGATCTCAGTTTACAGAAGAGGAAACTGAAGCCTAGAATGGTTCACATTGATTGGACCAGAACAGTGAGCATTTGTGGCACACCTGGCCTTGCAGTAAGCATTTGTGGCACATATAAAGATGAACCATAAACAGATCCTCAAAGATCCAACAATAGCTAGGGCCTTACTTTCCTAAGGTTACAAGGGTTAGTTAGTTACCTAGACAGGTCCCCTAGCCACTATAGCCTACTTGTCATGTCTTTTTAAAACAAAGAGAAAGAAAGAAAGGAGGAGGCTGGACATGTTGGCTCATGCCAGTAATCCTACCACTTAGGAAGGCTGAGGCAGGAGGATCACTTGAGCCCAGGAGTTTAAGATCAGCCTGGGTAATAGTGAGACCCCATCTCTACAAAAAATAAAAATTAGCCGGGCATGGTGGCACACCTGTAGCCCCAGCTACTTGGGAGCATGGGGTAGGAGGATGGCTTGAGCCCAGGAGTTGGAGGCTGCAGTGAGCTATGATGATGGATGATGTCACTGCACTCTAGCCCAGACAACACAGCAAGACCCTATCTCGAACAAAAAAAAAAAAAAAGAAAAGAAAAAAAAAAGCGAGAGAAAAGAAAAGAAAAAAAATGAAATAGGCTACTACTTCCCCTGAAACAATGCTCATCCTTCCTAGACAGAGCTGATTTTCTCTGGCAAACAGTATCAGAGCTCACAGAACGGGCTTAAACCCATTCTGAGGTATCCTCTTACAAGAGAGGGAAGTGCCCAAGATTCTCCTATTTGTAGCTCCAGGTAGAGAGAAAAACAAAACGTCATTGCTTGTACTCACATCAGAGGAAGATCAAGGCACCCAAAGACTCTAGAAAGGCAGACACAAAGACCCCTGAGAGAGGTGAGGATTAGGGTTAAGGCTGCCTAGAGCAAGTTGGGGAATGATAATAACAATTAAAGGAACAGACCCATGTATATGCTTATGGACACTCATCTACTCCAAGGCAACCATTATGTTAGACACCAGACAACTTAGAAAGAGAAATCTGCCCTGCCTTTTTTTTTAGGTTTTAATTTTTTTTTTTTTTTTTTCAGAGGTGGGGTCTTGCACTGTCTCCCAGGCTGGAGAGTAGTGGTGTGATCATAGCTCATGGTAACCTCAAACTCCTAGGCTCAAGCGATCCTTCCACCTCAGTCTCCCAAAGTGCTGGGATTACAGGTGTGAGCTACTGCACCCGACCTGCCTTTTCCACAAAAAGCTAACAGTCTAAAGATGGGTGAATTATAGGAGTTCATGCTCTAAACTAACCATTCATTTTGTAACTCCCTAGTCAAGATGCTGAACTGAGTTTTCTCCCCAAGGATCTGAAGCAGGTATGCAAGTTGCAGATGTTTTAAAAATACTTTAGTTGAATGCATAAATAGTTAAGCATCATTCAGGACAACTCTGCTTACACTCCAACATATTAACTAGACTGGAAAAACTGCTGATAGGAAGAGAGGCAAAGGCCAAAAACCTAGATGAAACTATTAATAATAGCTAACCCATGGCCAGCACAGTAGGCTGGGAGGCTGATGCAGGGGGATCACTCAAAGCCAGGAGTTCAACACCAGCCTGGGCAACATAGTGAGACCCTCTACAAAAAATAAAAATATTAGCCCAGTGTGGTAGTGCTGGCTGTAGCCCCAGCTACTCCAGAGGCTGAGGCAGGAGGATCACTATATAACACCTCCTTTGTGGCAGGCAATGCTCTATGTACTTGACATATAATTCACATAACGCTCACAAAAACCCAATGAGGTAGGTAACAGGGACACATGCATCTGGAAACTTCCAGGCTCACCTAGACTTTATCAGCTCTTAAAAGTTCTTGGTTACATCATAGATATAAACCTTTCTGTTCCTCCTACTTGAACAATAGTGTTATAAGCAAACACTGTAAACAGTGTAAACAGTGTTTACAAGTCCTCAACTGTATAACCAATTTCCAGGGGTTGTGAGAATGAAATAAAATCTTGGATGAAAAGCATTTCACTAGGAAGGATGGAATTTCCATGAGGGCAGATTTTGTCCATTGCTGTGTAACCAGCGTCTAGAACAGGGCCTGGCACGAATGTGCTAAACTCTGACGTTCCTCTCCATGGGAAAGGGGTGCGACACAGCACTTCCAAACCTACCCAGAACCCCTCTTACTCTCCGTTGGCTGGAAATGCAGACCCATTTTTGCCTCGCCCAGTCCAATGTAGCTTAGCAAAACCTGGCCGATCCCAAAATGCCTTCCACCCCTGCTTTCAGCTCACCGCAGGGCTCAGGGCCAGTCTCAGGGAGAGGCTGCTTCTTGCCCTCCGACAGATGGCCTCCCCCCTTCGGGACTCCCCCATTCCCAATGCGGACACAGAGCCGTGGAGATGGGAGAGCAGTTCATAACGCCCCAGCCGCTCAGCCTGGCACTCGAAGGCAATGCGGATCAGAGGGAAGGTGTCCATCGGCAACCCCAGGGCATTCCTCTCGCCACGTGGCTTATGTAGGTGGAAGTTTAGCTGCAGCCCCATCTGGGCAGCCAGGACAGAAATCCTAGCTCCCTTCTGAAATGTGGGGATTGCAGGTAGACGTGGCGAGGGTCGCAAGGCACCTTACCTGGTCCTGGGAGGGATACACTAAGACACCTGCCACCAGATGTAGCCCGCGTTGGAAGCCAGGCGTAGTTGTGCCAACCCGCCTGGACCTGGGAACCGCCCCCTTGCCCGCCCCCACGCCCCTCTATCCCGACCAATCACAGGCTGGGAGGCTACCGCCAGCCACGTGGGAGAATTTTCACCAATCCCCTGGTCCGAGTTAGCAGCAGCCTCCTCCCGCCGCTCCTACAGCCCCAGCGGTCCGCCCGCGCAGTGGGCGGGCACTTTGGCGCGCTTGCGCACTTTGGGGAAAGCGGAGCTGGACCCCGCCCCATACCGCTGCTTTGCTCCTCCACTGTGCGAGCGAGGGACGTCGGGGGCGGTGCCGCAGCAGTTGCCCCTGGTAACGGGGGAGGCAGCTGCAGGAGCAGGAGGAGGAGGAGGAGGAGGAGGAGGAGGGATTCGGCGGGAGGATGGTAAGCGTGGGGGCCCAAGCCCCTTTGGAGCTGGCCGATCACCCCCCTCCCGTCCCCAGGCGCAGGGCGAGGCACTGCGCTTAAAGCCAAGGAATGAGTGGGACGCAGCTCTGCCTGCTGCCTGGGTTCTGGACTGGTTTCGGGGGCGACAGGGAACCCCGAGGATGGGCCTTGGAGGGAGGCCTGGGCCTGGAGAGGAAGGCGGGGCTTGCGATGAGTCCCAGGCTTGGGGAAAGGGCTGGTAGAGTGCGTGGCTGGCCCCATACGGATCCCTTGCTCCATCATTACTCCAGAGACAGGGATGAGGGCGGGTCCGAGGAGCGGTAGAGAGCCGCCTTCGCACGCAGGCTTAGTTAGATCTTCCCGGGGAATCGGCCTCCCTGCGCTGCAGGAAAGTGGGGTCCGTCTGGGGCCCGAACAAGAAACGGAGAGAAGAGCCAGCGCTAGTCTTTGAGGTCGCCCTGGCGGTACCAGGGGAGATGATAGCCTAGTTCGCCTCTTCCTCGCGGTGTGCGGGTCCCTGGAGATCCGGGGAGTAAGTCCCAGGACACACTTAAAGAGGTGTCTTTTGGAAGGGATGCCTGGTACATTTTATGCCGTCTTAGTGTCTGCGTGGCGGGCGCGCTTCTGCAGTTCTGAGTTTTTTATTTGCTGAGAGTTTTACAGGACCTGGTTGTTGGTGATGACCAATTTTCCGTTCAATACTTAATCCTGTTGATGGAGGCAAATTAGCTGCCTCGTCCCTAGTATTTCCTTCGAAACCTTTTGCAACCTCATTTTGCGTGTGACCATAACAGGACCAAAGGTCTTAACCCCAGTTTAGGGTCTCCAAACTAAAAAGAATGGGAAATTAAAACTGGAGAGTGGGCATCAATTTGGGGCAAGCTTTTTCTGTCAGCCCTAATTAAAGCTTTCCCAAATTGTAAATTATAGTTGTGACAGATTTGACCATTGACACTGTTCCTTGCTGATTTCTGTACAGTTAGTTGGAGGGGGTTAAAATGGAATTGAATAATTTTAGAGCTAGTCAAAGAAAAATTGATTTCGAAGCATGTAGAACAGGTTGGTTGGTTTACCAACTGCAAAGAGCCCACAATCGAATTTATAGTTACTGCCCCACCTCATCCCCTAGTCCCTTTCTGACTTTTAAAAATGTTGAACCACTTCTGTTGATTTAAGAAGAAAAAATTATCCAATTATCCTAGGAGGAAAAAAAATACATGTACCTTTGGTCAGATTATCCAGTGAGTAAATTTTGATAGAGGAAAAAAAACTCAGTTGGTTTTACGTTGTTAGATTGTTAAATAAGTAGGATTATTTGATCTGAAGTTGCCAATCACATTAACACTTGCTACATGTGCAGCTTTTTTAACCTCAGGCTAACCAGATTTTTACAAGTGTTTCTTTTTCTTAATCGTTTATACATGAGCTGTCCATTTAAAGGCTAAGTTTTTCTCAACAAATGAGTACAAACATAAATATTTATACAGAAAATAACTGGAATTGAAGTGAAAAAGGCATGCCAAACCTACAGAGAATGAAATTTGTCATTATAAATGAGAAACGCATGAGAGTTGGCTAACTTTTCTCAGTTTGTTTATCAATTAAGCGGGCTGTGTAATTTCATGATTGTTTAATTTATAATTACAGGCCACAATAAATTAACCACCGCTCATGTTTCCAGGTGCAAATTGGCACTGTATACAACAAATTGACAGTGTATATACAACACTGTTGTATACAACTGTTGTAGTCACTGATCAAAACAGATTTTGTTTTTCTTTTTTTCCTTAAATGAACAATGAGAAATTAGGAAAAATTATTCTGGATTCTTTATCAAGTTTCCCAAATATCATTTTTTTTTCCTATCTCCAAAAGTGCAGCTATTCTTAGAACTGGAAATGGAACACTGAATTTAAACAGTCAGTGGTATGATTAAGTGTGTCACATCTTGCTGTCTCATGAGCCCCCATGGGTAACTGTACAACTGAAGAGTGAATCCCAGGCTTTTTTGTTTTTTGTTTTAAACTTCAGCTATGACTAATACAGTTTTTAAAAATTTGGGTAAGTGCAAAAAAAACCCATTATGGGTTTCCCTGAACATTTAGGGTCTAGGGTCAGCTGTTTTACCCCTGCCTTATGATACCAAGTCCTTGATGAAATACTAAGGTGGCAGTAATTGTATCGCATAATCACTGTTACTTAATATATGACTCCTTCAGTAATTATTTCAGTTAAGTATTCAGTAATTATTTGTGGATGACTTTCTGCATATATGGAGCTTGTGGCAGTTATGGAGCATGTTCAACATTTGAAGATTGTTCCCAACAGTATTTATGTTTTGTGGTCAGAAAACAGTCAGTGAGAAGTTATTTTTAAAAAACCACAATACACAACTACTGTTTAGAGGGCTACTATGTGTTATGCTTTATATACCTTACCTCATTTAATCCTCATAGCATTTTTCTTGAGATATAAGTACTGTTCCCATTTTCTAGATGAAACTATGCTCAGGGTTATACATACACAGAAGTTGAATCAAGTCTGTGAAACTAAAGCCTATAGTATTCTTTTCATTAGGACTCTGGTAAAGTATTCCTGAGGAGATGCCCAGATTTTGTTCCTCAGGAAATGTTGTTTGTATTTATTTAGTAGAGGGTAATGAGGAAGAAGACAAAGTTTGGATGAGGTTCTCCCTTTCAAAGCTGATAGGAGCTTTAAACTGATAGGAGTTCAGTTTAAAGAGGTAAAAATAAACTGAAGCCAGTTCCATTTAAGCTGGTGATGGGGGGTATATGTACTTGACAGCTGGTTTAGTAATTTTAATCTAGAAATTTTAGCTGCCCCTCACAGCCACATATATTTTCCATATAACACCTTCCTCTCCCTCTACCACTCCGGTTTCTTTGAGTGACCTAGTTTGTATCATTTTAGGTCAGTGCGCCATGCCTCTGCCAGCAGTTTAAGTTGATTTTGAGGCAGATAAAATGTCTGTGTTCAATAGCACGTCTATTCATGATTTGCCTGCAGAAAAGTTTGTTTAAATGTTTTGTGGTTGAGTCAGACCACTTCTGTCCACCAGGGTGCAGATAACTTGTACACACACATGCCGATAACACACAATATGCAATTAACCGAAGTTCTTGTTTCTTAAATTGCCTTTATTTAATCTCAGAGGAGTGTAAATTCTACATAGAGAGCATGTCTCTTTTGCTCACTCTGTACTTGAGGCACATTATGGATGTCTGATGATAAATGAATGGATATTTTGGCAAAATATACACTTTAAAAATTAATTTAATTGTATTTATACTGTAAAACTCAGCCCCATAATAAATTTATCTTCTAATGGCTGTCTCCCTTCATTTGACATTTAAAATAAAGTATGAGCATATATGGATAGAAACATAGAATAAATAGACTTATTCTGCTCTCTTTCGCCGGGCCTCTTAAATCGGCTTACTTTGTATCTTTCAGGCAGAACCCTGACATCTATAAATATCCTCTTCCCTATTTAGCAAACCCTGATAATCCTGTGATCCCCTGTCCTTAGTAGTTGGGTTAATATGATGCTGTATTGTATTTGCACTTGTCTTGCCTAGACCATGCTTGAGATGTCATTTATCATTTTGCTGGAAGAAAATATTAGCTGAACTTTCCATTTTTCTGTAATTTTACTTAAAGGGGAAGCATCTGAAGTTATTGTTTCCTAATAAGGAAAATTATTCTTTGGAAATGTAGCAGTACTGTATTCTATACCATTAGGTTAATAAAGTTTATCTGTAGTTAGAATGATTTCTTTCTTATCTGTGCTTTGCTTCCCTCTTTTTCTTTTTTTTTTTTTTTGAGACAGAGTCTCACTCTGTTGCCCAGGCTAGAGTGCCATGGCATCAGGCTAGCTTACAGCAACCTCAAACTCCTGGGCTCAAGCAATCCTCCTGCCTCAGCCTTCCGAGTAGCTGGGACTACAGGCATGCACCACCATGCCCGGCTAATTTTTTCTATATATTTTTAGTTGTCCAGCTAATTTCTTTCTATTCTTTTTTTAGTAGAGACAGGGTCTCGCTCTTGTTCAGGCTGGTCTTGAACTCCTGAGCTAAAACGATCCGCCTGCCTCGGCCTCCCAGAGTGCTAGGATTACAGGCGTGAGCCACCGCACCTGGCCCTCTCCTTTTATTTTAAGATCGATAGAAATTATGTTTTTCTCTTAATTCTTCAATTTCAAATGTAATGAGTTTATAAAAAGTCTCAGCCTTCAAAAAGGAATGTTTTTATTTAGTGATTTTTTTAAAAGACATGGAAAAAAACCCAAAACATCAATTTTAAACTTTGAAAATATTTTATAGAAAACATCTTCCTTTACAATTTCTATACTAGCAGATAATGCATGAGAAGAACTCTACCTGTATGTCATTTAATGTACGAATTTGCTGAATTCTAGTTGTTTTAGAAGTTACTGTAAGAGGTAATGAGACCCTTTCTTTCACCTCCAATCAGGAACTCAGGATGAGTAGTACAATGTGTTTTCCCTGTTCTTAGCCTTTTCATGTCACCAGTCCCCTGAGGATCTCAGAATTCTAATTTTAACTGTTCTGAAAGGTGCTATTATAAATGAGTGATTGCAATATAGCTAATAGAAACTAGGAAAACTGCTTATAAATATAGTTTTAAGAAAGAATGGTGGTCAGGTGCAGTAGCTCATGCCTTTAATCCCAGCACTTTGGGAGGCCAACGTGGGAGGATTAATTGAGGCCAGGAGTTTGAAACCCACTTGGGTGACATAGCAAGACCCTATTTCTACAAAAAATAAGAAAATTTAGCTGGGCATGGTGGCATGTGGCTATAGTCCAAGCTATTCAGGAGGCTGAGGCAGGAAGATTGCTTGATCCCAGGAGTTCCAGACTGCAGTGAGCTATGATTGAGCCACTGCACTCCAGCCTGGGAGAGAGAGTGAGACCCTTCCTCTTAAAAAAAAAAAAAAAAAAAAGAAGAAGAAGAAGGAATGGGGTCAAAATATTCAAGACCAGATCAGAAAAACAAAGGCAAAAAAAGTCCTGCCTTTAAAAAATAAAAAGTCCTGACTATATTTTCTTTGTTTCAAATCTATTCAGTCTTACTCCGCCAAATCTTTTGGTATAGAATTTACCTTTCTATCTTAGACTAAACCTTCCATTTTATTGCTGGAAAAAAGTCAAAGCATAGAGAGGTTAATGTGGTCCTTAGCAAGTCAGTGCAAATACAGAGCTAGACGTGGTAAACAAAGAGTCTCTGAGGCAGAAAGGAATTCTTAATAATTACGTATATTTGCATATCGTTGTCCACAGACCCAATTGTTGAGAATTATTTCACAGAAGTATCATTTGATCTTAGTGAACAAACTGGTTTGAATTATTGCCTGCTGCAATGTGGATAGCAAATATAACCATTTTACGTAATTCTAAGACCCAGTTTGAAGGAATTTCTTCTCAGGCTGGGAGATTAGATTATATGCCCTTTAAGCTCTGGAATTCTTTGCTCTTGTAGCTTTGCCTCATTAGAACAAGATTGTCAACTGCAGGACAGAACAAATAACTATTATATAAAAATTTTCTTACGTTCTTGGCGAGAAAGTAACGTGGTTCATGTCTATCCATAAAAAAAATGAATAAAACAAGAAGCAGAAACATTAGCTTACTAGTCAAAAATACCCTGGTTAAATTTTGATGTTTTGCACTCTAGCCTGGGCAAGAGGGCAAGATCCCATCTCAAAAAACAAATTTTTTTGATGTTTTTAGCTTTATGAGTGCCTTTTACAATTCCCTGACTTCTCTGTTGTACCAGATTTTTCATCTGAAAAACAGAAAATCTGTACCATGCACCTATTGTGTAGGGTCTTGTAAAAGTTAGATGGTGATAGAGCATTTTGAATGAAGAAGTCTCAAAGGTGAGCTGGAATAGATAGAAGTCTTAAACAGAGAAGCCTAGCTATAATTTTATATAGCCTTTTTATGTCTTTTTGTATAGCGCCTTAAAATCTTGGATTAATTTAGGTAGGTAACTCTATTTAATTCCGCAAGTGTTATCTGATGTCTATCTAATAAGTGTCAGGCATTGTGGGAGACAGAAGCTATAGCACTGCCCCAGAAGAAACTCCAGTAAAGGAGAAAAATGCAGAAATCAATGACCTAGTCTGCTACGATGAGTGTTCTACCCTGAGAGTGTATACAAAGCTTTAGAAACACAGACGGGGTAGTAGTTCACAGTCTCAGGAGATTTGGGGTGACTGCTAAGCTGGATTAATAGAAGGAGCAGGAATAAGCCATGCTACTTATTAAGTTGTTGAATTTACTAGAGTACTTCTGCCAAAACTTAGAAGGAGGAAGCAAATGGAATAAATGGCATTAAAGTGGAAATAATAATATAAGCTCTCCATAACCAGAACTTTTTTCAAGGAGGAGAAGTTATTCTGATGTCCAGTAATATCAAAATCAGTGCCACCAAAATAATCTCTCTCCTTCGTGGTTGTTCAAGGGCTTACTTTCAATTTTGCGCAAATTGAAAAGTGCACCAGACCAGGAGGTGAGAATCCTTCTCCTGGGCTTGGATAATGCTGGCAAGACGACTCTTCTGAAGCAGCTTGCATCTGAGGACATCAGCCACATCACACCTACGCAGGTGAGCACTGCCTTGGCTCCAGATGCTGTGTGATGCAAGGAAGATGATAATAGCAATGCGAAAGACAAAATGGGAAATATAGTTTCGTCCACTTCCAAGTTTTGTTTCTGAGAAAAGTTTATACAATCTAAAAATAATTAGATTTCAAAAACATATAAGAGATTCCATTCATATTTAGAGTAGTCAGATTCATAAAGACAGAAAGTAGAATGGTAGTTACTGGAGCTGGGGAGAGGGGAGTTACTGTTTAATGGGTACAGAGAATCAGTTTTGCAAGATGAAGAGTTCTGTGGTTGGAGGCACACAGTCTGAAGGTACTTAATGCCACTGAACTGCATATTTTTAAAATAATATACTTTATGTTAGGTATATTCTACCACAATTAAAAAATATATATATATACACACACATATTCATATATGTGTATGTCTCTGTATGTGTGTATATATATCAAGATAATCAATTCCCTCAGATCTAAATGATTACCTATATTTTAAAAAATAGCTCTATCTTCTCTGATTATGAAATTAATACATGGAGAAAGTAGAAAGGAAAAAATAAAGACTACTTTGAGAAAAACCACTCTTAATATTTTAGTATGTATTTTTCAGATTTAATAAATGCAAACATATATCAATTTTTTAAATAAAAAACAATTACCTACCTTTCTGAATCCAACCTCATCAACCTTCCTCTTTCCTAAGGCCAAGCAAGCAAAACACAAAGGCTAAGGCAATTGTGCTCACAGTGCAAAAGTTTAAAGACAAGTCCTGATTGGAAGAACTCTAGTAGGCTTCTTTAGACCTCATTCCCCGTAAGAAATTCTGAGACAGCTTGACCTTTGGCCAAGCCAACACGGGCAGCCTGTTGGTATTAGTCACTTTAAAGTGTTTCAGCATTAGAGATTTAAGCAAAACCAGAGTTATTTAGCATTTTCTGTCACTGTACTATGATAAAACCTTGGTGTCGGGTTTGAATGGCTGGGCTGGCGTGTGTACTTCACGGCCTATGAATCTTACCAATTCATAACTCTTTGCAAAAAAGTCGTTTGAACTGCTACAAAATGAACAATTTTACAGCTTCTGAACAAATTTAATGTATAGCTCAAGGAGGAGCAAATTATAGTAGTCTAGCCTAGAAGGGCTGAAAACACATATTAGTGTGTCAGGATTTCTGCCAGAAAAAAGAAGGGCTAGTTTTTTTGAGTTTTTGTTTTTTTAGTATTAACAGTAGACTGTATCTCTTAAGAACACTAAAATGACTTCCACACTACAAACATATAAATGAACTCAAAGCTGTAAACCCAAAGTTCTAGCTCTAACCTTCAGGCTTTGTTTGATGTGTTACAGGTGACTTTGGTATTATATTATGTCAAGTTTTCATATTTACTCTTTAAAAACAAACGTATTGTATTTTTGGTTTTTATTAGAAAAAGTAATAGATACTCATTGTAATAAATTTAGAAAGTATAAATAAATAAAATTGAGAAACTAGAAATCACCTGTAATATCCAGTTAGAGATAACCACCCTTCACATTTAGGAATGTATCTGTTAAGTTTTTTTCCTGTATGTGTGTGTGTGTGTGTGTGTGTGTGTATAAGATATATTTAAAATAAAAAATTAAAATGGCTCATAAAGAATATACTATTTTATATATATACTATTTTATATCATCTTTTTCACTTAATGTATCATAACTATCTTTCTATGTTATATATGTGTGATTATGTAATACACATCTCTAAATGTTTGTACCCATTCATTGTTATTTCCTTAGAATATTAAAAATTTCCTAGTATATCTGTTGGGTCTGATAACTAACAGAAGTTTAAGGCAGTTGATACATACAGTCAAATTCCAAGATTTACTGTTACTTATTCCCTGCTTCATTCCAGGAAGGATTTGGTATTACTAGGTTTGACATTTAATATCATTGTTGAATGCAGAATTTTTTTTTTAATGAGAGAAGATCTCGCTATGTTGTTCAGCCTGAAGTCAAACTCTTGGGCTCAAGCGATTCTTCTGCCTGAGCCTCTCAAGTAGCTGGCACTACAGGCGCACACCACCACGCCTGGCTCAAAAATTTTAAATATGCAAAAGTAATGTTCTCAATGAGTCACAGTGAAACTGTCTCTTACAATAAGCTTCAGACATTTCCTTTAGAATTCTTAAACTTCTGATTTATTCAGTCATTGGTGTGTAGTCAGCCTCACCTCTAGTTATCCTCTAGTGACTGTTTATCCTCAGTGGGAATTGGGTGGCAATGTTCCTGTGCCGTTGCACTGTGCCTTATCGTTCTGTGCTAGGCAGCAGTGTTGACAAGCTGCCAGATGAGACAAATGTTTATGGAGGTATCCCCAGACCTACTTAACTCCCGTTATTCTGGATGGATTGTCTCTTCTATGGTAGCAAGCTGTTGATTGGATTTTTCAAATCCTGGTTTCCTGATACTGTTCTTGCAAGAAGACTTTTTTTGATTCTTGCTCATGAAATACATTCTCCTCAAACCCCAAAGGTCTTGTTAATTTGTTTCTTTCCACACTAACTCCCCACTGGCAATTCTGCCTGTCCCTGATTTGCTCACCTTCTTCAAAGTTCCACCTTGAATAACTGTCCTAAAAATGAACACTTTCTTTTCAAGTTCATCAGTCACCTATTAAAGCACAATTTTAAATGACCACTTGTTTGTTTCCATCGCTGTCTGTAAGGGAGGGCTCCACTTCCCAGCTTGAGCTTGCTATTCCAGCAGGCCCGCCCTCCCCACCGGGCTGACGCTCCAGTTACAAACCCAGCCTCCCTCATAGGGTCCTCAATTCAGCTCCCTATTTTTCCTGATTAAGCCATATGAGGAAATTTATTTTGAGCTGCTGTCAAAGAATTTAATTCTCCAGAGTTATAGCTCTTTCCTCTTTTTAAATTTATTAAAGCATTTGTTCTTTTCTCTTAAGTCTTCAGCTTCAGCTTCTGTTTTTGTTAGTTGTATGTGATGTCCTCTCGAATTTTACCATCCTGAGGCCTCATCAGGGCTGTGGCCTATGTTGTTTAATTGATCATCAGCTATTCTCATACTGAGTTGTCCTTAGCAATTATATATATATCTATCTTTCATTGTATTAATAGAAAACATCATGTTAGCCGTGGCATTAGCACTGACTCCACAACCTGAATGGAATAGCCTGTACAAGTACGTTTCTTCCTTCTCTGTCACAGCATACCATTTTCAGCATTGCTAGTATCACATCTGGCAGAGTACTTCAGAATTAGTTTTAAAAACGTAGCTATTAATGTAACTTTGTCAGAATTACGATCTCCAAGTTTAATAAAACTTGATGTTTTTGCCCATGTCTGTTTCAGGGTTTTAACATCAAAAGTGTACAGTCACAAGGTTTTAAACTGAATGTGTGGGACATTGGTGGACAGAGGAAAATCAGACCATACTGGAGGAATTATTTTGAAAATACCGATATTCTTGTAAGTACTCCTTCTGATGTGCTAATTCATAGTATTTTATGCCGTGTGTTAGGAACGTTAACACCTTAGTGTTTTTTCTTGTCAGTAATTCCACTGCCATAATCACTGTGAATTTAGCAGGGCTAGCAGAAGGCTGCAGATTATAAAAGGGAAACATCTTTGTGTAACTTGTATAAAATGTTTTGCTGTCGCTCAGTAACAGTGTTGTGTCCACACCCACCTTGGCAAAACAAAGTATTTATTAATTACCATAGTGATTTGAATAACAGAAGGGACTTCAGAAGATCATGCCACTAATTCTGTCACCCCAAGTTAAGTCAATGAGTCAACTGTATCCCAAAGAGAGCAACCAAGATAGTGAAAGTCCTGGAGACTGCGGTATATAAGGAATGGTTGAAAGACCTGACAGTTTCTTCCTGGAAAAGAAAACACTTGGAACTGTGTTCAGCTGCTCCAAGAACTATCTTAAGTCAGAGAGATTAGCCTCATTTTGAAGAGTTCTAGGAGACTGAGCAAGGAGCACGATTTGGAGTATTAGGGTGGCAGAATTTAATTAAGATTAAAGGAGAAGTTTCCTATAATTACAACTGTCCAGAAGTAGAATAAGCTGCCTCATACTTGGGGATGCCCTGGCTCAGGCAGAGCTGAGATTTTAGCCCCCAGCTCACTGCCACTTCCTCCAGGAGTACTGTTTCAGAATTCCTAGAGATTTCTCTATCCACATACATGATTTCGCCAATACCCCAGCCTCTCAGGTCCTTCACCTCCCCTCCTCCAATGGTTTTATCATTAATCCTACCTTAGCCACAAACTCTCATGATCATACCTTAGAACTAAGGGGTCTCATGAACTTGGATGGGAAAAAATATTGCGTATCATTTTTACTAACCCCTAACCAAAAGTTTGCATTTACTTCAGTTATAACCATAGGCAATAAACTGCAATAATGGCAGCCATATCTGTTTTCATTACTCATAGAAATTGTCTTGTATCTCAAACAGCTTCATTCTCTGCTGTTGTTTCCTAGGTATCTCTCTCTCCTGGATCATTCCTATCAATATGCACACATCCTGTAGTTTCTCTTGTTTAAAAAAGAAAAACAAGGCCGGGCGCGGTGGCTCAGCCCTGGAACCATAGCACTCTGGGAGACTGAGGTGGGAGGATCGCTTGAGCTCAGGAGCTGGAGACCAGCCTGAGCAAGAGCGAAACTCCGTCTGTACCAAAAAAAACACAAAAAACAAAACCAAAAAACTCTTCTCCTGCCTGTACACCCCCTTCTAGATACGGTGTCCCAATCCTCAGCCTCCTTTACAGCAAAACTGCTTGAAAGAGTTTCCTATGCCCTCTGTCTTCACTTCCTCCCTTCATGGTCACTCTTGAGCCTTCCATTCAGGCTCACTGATAACACCACATCACTAACTCTAGGGTTCAGTTTTCATTACTCAGCTTACTTGGCCTATTAGCCCATTTCCATAATTAGTTGAAACATTGCCTTTGCTTGGCTTCCAGGCTACCATTTTATCTTGATTTTCCTCCTAACTCACCAGCTACTCCTCCTCAATCTCTATTGCTATTTTTTTCCTTACCTCCCAACCTCTAAATGTTGGAAAGCCCCGGAGTTCAGGCCTTGTGTTTTTCTTCTCTGAGTCACTGCCTTGGTGTCCTCGTCCTGTTTCAATACTTTAATTACGACCTACATGCTTGTGAATTCCAAACTATTATCTCTAGCCTGGAACTCTCCCCTGAACTTCAGTTTCATATACAGTTATGCACCACATAACAATGTTTGGTCAGTGATGGACCTCCTGTATGACAGTGGTCCCATAATATTATAACAGAGCTGAAAAATTCTTATCACCTTATAATGGCGTAGCTGTCGTAGCACAACATATTATCTTTTCTATGTTTAGGTATGTTTAGATACTGTTGTATTACAATTGCCTATAGTGTTCAGTACAGTAACATGCTGTACAGGTTTGTAGTCTACAGACAATAGGCTATACCATATAGCTTAGGTGTGTAGTAGGCTGTACCATCTAGGTTTGTGTAAGTGTTCTCCATGATGCTTGCACCAAGATGAAATCACCTAAATCGCCTAAGGACGCATTTTTCAGAATGTTTCCCTGTCGTTAAGCAATGCATGACTATGCAGCCAGCTGCCTATTTGACATCTACACTTCAGTGGCTAGTAAGCCCCTCAGCCTCAACATGTCAAAAAACAAATTCCTATCTTCATCCACTCCTACTCAACTCCGCTCCTCCCACCGTCTTTTGGGTAAATGGCAGTTCCATTCACCCAAAAACAGTGCTGTCATTTTTGGCACCTTTTCCTCTCACTCTCCACACCTGATCCATCAGCAAATCCTGTGTACCTGTCGCCATCAGACATATTTTTACTTGTTTATTACCTTTCTCCCCCATTGGAATGTAAGTTTCATGAGAACAGGAACTTGTGCATTATGTTTAACTGTTATATCCCCAGTGCCTAGAAAAGTGCCCAAATGAGTGAAATGGATCATTGTTATGGGGGATTCTCGCATTAGTTAGAACATGGAGTTATATAACTTTTAAATTCTCTTCCATCTCTGAGATTCTATAATTCTGTATTATTGTGGTCAAGTCCAAGGGCTTGCTAATTCCTTCTATAAAATGGGGAGAACATCTACTTCATGGGGAGGTTTATGAGAGTTAGTGAATTTATTCACTTACCATGATTCTTATGTGGAGAATAATATCAAAATGTAAAATTGTTCTATCATCAAGAAACACATTTGAGGTGTTAAAAGGGGGAGCACACAGGTTTATCACATTTCTGGTCCTCTGTGATGGTAATTTCAATTCTATTCCTGGTGCCAGGTTAAAGGTTTAAGTGAAGAGAAGAATAAGATAAGACACATGCATCCATCCATTTATCCATCTATTCAAACAGTATTCCTCTAAAATGTATATACCTTCTAGAAGTATAGAAGAGAAAGGTTGGGGAAAAAGAAAAATTTTCCTTTTAAGATCAAAAGAAACTTCTTCTGTAATCTCAAATAAGGTGTCCATTCTTCAAATATAATTTTTCAATTTTAGAAATTTTCAAAGGTGCACAAAGGTCAAAAAATAGTATAACGAAATCCCAGATACCTACCCATCACCCAGCTTCCTAATTTCAGTTTTGGCAATCTTATTTCCTCTCTCCATCACTATTTTTTATTTTAAGTATTTTAAAGCAAATTCCAGCCATCATATTATTATGTCACTCACAAATACTTGAAAAGTAAATTCGAAACATCAGTTCCTAAATTGTTATATGAAACTATATGTTAGGAAAATTGACTATTAGAAATTTTTTAAATCAACAAGGAAACTCCTGGAACTAATGATTATAGCTAGGTTTCAGGATATAAGGTTAATATACAAAAGTTGGTTGCCGGCCGGGCACGGTGGCTCACGCCTGTAATCCTAGCACTCTGGGAGGCCGAGGTGGGTGGATTGCTCAAGGTCAGGAGTTCGAGACCAGCCTGAGCAAGAGCGAGATCCCGTCTCTACTAAAAATAGAAAGAAATTATCTGGACAACTAAAAATATATATATAGAAAAAAAATTAGCCGGGCATGGTGGCGCATGCCTGTAGTCCCAGCTACTCGGGAGGCTGAGGCAGAAGGATTGCTTGAGCCCAGGAGTTTGAGGTTGCTGTGAGCTAGGCTGACGCTGCGGCACTCTAGCCAGGACAACAGAGCCAGACTCTGTCTCAAAAAAAAAAATTAAATTAAAAAAAAAAAAGTCAGTTGCCTTCCTTTAGATCAGGAATGAACAATTAGAACTTGAAATTAAAAGCAGAATACCATTTAGCACCCCAATCAATGAAATATTTAGGCATAAATCTAACAAAATACATATAGAATCTATATGAGGAAAACTATAAAGCTAACAAATCAAAGAAGATCTAAATAAATAGATATTCCATGTTTATGGATAGAAGGATTCAATATTATCAAGATGTCAATTATACCCAGTGTGATATGTGGATTCAATGCAATCCAAATCAAAATTCCAGCAAGTTATTTTGGGAATACTGACAAACTGATTCCAAAGTTTATATGGAAGGGCAAAAGATTTAGATAGCCAACATAGTACTGATGAAGAATAAGTTAAGGACTGATACCACTTGACAGCAAAACTTACTATTAATATAAAACTAGAGTAATCAAGACAGCATGTATAAGAGAAAGAATAGACAAACTGATGAATAGAACAGAATAAAGAGCCCAAAAATAAACCCACATGAATATAGCCAACTGATCTTTGACAAAAGAACAAGACAATTCAATGGAGCAAGGATAATCTTTTCATCAGTGGTGCTGGAACAATGGGACATCTACATGAAAAATTAAAAAAAAAAAAAAAAGAAGAATCTAGACCTAGCCTTACCCCTTTCACAAAAATTAACTCAAAATGTCAAAATGGATCTTAGACCTACCTGTAAAACTTATAGAAGATAACGTAAGAGAACATCTAAGTGATCTTAGGTTTGGTGATGAGCTTTTAGATATACCAAAAGAATAATCCATGGGGAAAAAATAAGTGGAACTTTATTAGAATTCAAAATTTCTGAGACGAGCGTGGTGGCTCACGCCTGTAATCCTAGCACTCTGGGAGGCCGAGGCAGGCAGACCGTTTGAACTCAGGAGTTCGAGACCAGCCTTAGCAAGAGTGAGACCCCGTCTCTACTAAAAATAGAAAGAAATTAGCTGGACAACTCAAAGATAACTACAGAAATTAATAAATAATAAAACAAAGGTAAAGAAGATCAATAAAGACATAAATTGGCTTTTTAAAAAGATTATTAGAGGAC